TCACTCAAGTAATGGAGTTGAGTACTTTGTCCGCCTCTGGTTCTGTTCAACATTTAACCAGTGCTGGGTTGCCAATTAACCCAAAAATGTTTTTAACCCAGCATTTTTTAGAGTGTGGCCAAGTTATTAGTTTGTAATTTTTTATTTCCACCAGTTTGACCCATTCAGGTCAAAACGTAGGAGGTTATCTTTCCATTAAAAGCATAATCAGTCAATCACAGTGACATGGAACTCTCTCACGTGACTTTTCAACATGTTTTATGAGTTTAGTAAGAACACAATGAGCTCAAGAGAGGCAAACCAGCCAAAACATTATCCACTGCTGTCACTTTACACACATTTCATAATATTCGTTTTGTTTTATTTTTGTACAGTCTCATCCAAGTATGAGTAAGTACAAACAACATGCCTTAACAGACACCACTAAAAATATGATTTATGTTTTAAAGGTGACTCTTTACAGACAGGTGGAATCATGTGTGAATAGATGAAAAGAGGCATTTTACTGTTTACTTTTACCAAAAATAAAGGCTCAAAAAGGATTTTTTCCCCCACAGCAATGACACAGAAGAACAATTTTTGGTTCCAAAAGAGAACCTTTCAGTGAACAGATCTTAAAATTGTAATAATCGAAAGAATCTCTTTTTTTTTCCACTATAAAGAACCCTTTGTCCATTGGAAAAGATCCATGGGCATTAAAGGTTCTTTATGGAAACATCGATGCAAATCGATTGATTTTTAAGAGTGTATCCATTGTGATAACCACTATTTCTGTGCCAGGAGGAGGGGAAAGGGGCGGAGCCAAACAAAAACAACACCATTACCACAAACTAGAGAGAGAGAGAGAGAGAGGGCAGGGAAAGAGACACAGCAGAGTGTTCCCTGTGTTCAGTGGTGATGAGTGGAAGTTAAGGACATCTCTCTCTAAATCAATGTGTCACTCAACGTGAACAGTTAACAGTGAGCAGCCAGAGGATCATTTGGGCAGAGACTCCAGCAGGACATGCAGACACATGCTGGGACACGTGGACCGAACTTAAACCGCACTTAAAGAACAATTTGCACCAGAACACAAAATGAGACTGTCACCAATCATCCTATGACAGGAGACACGCCGGGGGACGGACAACACGAAAGAGGGACAGAAAGGACAGGGGTGGATCTGTGATGACTTTCACTTCAGGGACAACAACATCCAACCTTCCTGGAGAGACACTGAAAGGATAAAGCAAAGAGAAAGAGAGAAAGAGCCGGGAACATCAGCACACCATCCTGGTAAGAGCTGTTTGTCTGATTACAAATGTGATGAAGTCAAATGAATCATGTTCTCTGGCTTTCACCTTTATACTTTGATTCAACTTACATAAACATGTTACAAACGAATAGACTGGCAGCTAAATCATGCAATGAAAAGATTTCAAAACACATATATTTCCAGGATTTGCAGAATAGCTTTGTAGAAATGAGCATGACTTTGTATGATATTTAATTCATTTCCATTTCTTTGTCAGACCTGGAATAAAAAAAATTAATTTAAAAAAGCCTGATTCCAGGTTTTCCGTCGCAGGGAAAACCCATGACATTTAGAGAATAATTAAATGTATTAATTTAGCTGATGCTCAAATCACAAGCAATATAATTTTTACATTTTGATTAAGCATTTTGGAACTAAACATAACTACAACAAAATTAGATTCACTATAGACTTTTAGAAAAACTGTACACTATACGCCAAGTCATGGGTCTGATTCCCAGGGAATGCATGAACTGATGAAATGTACACATTGAATGCAATGTAGGTCGCTTTCGATAAAAGCAATAGTAATGATCCTCTAGCATGCAGATTCAATCACACTTTCCACAACTTCACATCATGCATTCAAGTACTCGAGGAGTTGAGCTCAGGACAGAATATTTAGTTTCAACAAGAGCTTATGAGATAATCACCCATAAAATCAGACACAAATATTTTTAGCATTTGCTGCATCTATAGGGCAAGTTCTTCTCAGAGAACAATCAATGCAAATGATTCACTACTGATTCAAAGATCTATTGTCTTTGTCATTCACCCTTAAAAATAAAGGTTCTTTATTGGCACTGATGGTTCCATCAAGAACCTTTAATCTCCATAGAACCTTTCCATTCCATAAAAGGTTTTTTATAGTAGAAAAAAGGTTCTTCAGATTATTAAAATGTTGTTCACAGTAAGAAAATACTCTTTGGGGAGCCCAAAATGGTTTTTCTATGGCATCACTGTAAACCCACCTTATGAGATCTTTATTTTTAAGAGTGTTGTAGTAATATAAACTGCATTACTGAATGAATCTGTATACTTGAACTCAATAATAAAGTCATCAAACTGAAATAAAAACAAGAGTAATTCCTAACAAATTCATCCCACATCTACACAGGAATCCCTTGAGCTGGATTTGAGGCCAAAAGATAGGCTCTCAGTCTGAAAGTAGAGACTATATTTGCATCTCCTAAGTGAATACCAGCACTCGCAGGTCAGAAAAAGAAAGTTACATTTAATGCATACTGAAAACGACCCAAGAAAGCCAGAGGAATGAGAAGCTGAGACCTCGATGACATCAGCGGCTCAAGCACTATCATCCCAGTCGAGTTCAAATTCTAATCGGATTTGAAATCCATGAAATCTAAGTCAGATTTTGAATTCTGAACAATGACGTAATGCAGCATTCACATGCGTGACTCTATGGAAGTGATTCTGGCATCGCTCGTTACAGCAAAACAGATCCATGTGCTGCTTTATTGGTGATGACACCAAAACGATGTGTCTGTATCACAAAACTGAAGGAGAAAGAAAGCACGACATAAGTGCAAAGATATAATAAAAATAAGTATCAAACAGCATTATTAAGTTGATGTTTCGGTCACTTTGATAGATATGTCTTTTTTCTAGTTGGAATGTGGTAATTGTGACATGACGTAAAGGGTTAAACATTATGCAAAGGGACATTTTTACACTTAATGTGTTAAAAGTTTATGCAGAAATGCAATACAGGGTTGGAAAAATCCTAAAGACAGACAGTGAGCATGTTTCCTAAATCAATGCCAAAACAAGCACACGACAAAAACCTCTCTAATAAAGGTTCAATACAGTTATGTAATTTTTAAAGAATATATGATTCATCATGCATGTTTGTAGCATGAGGTTACGGATCCTTGCTGAGGGTCTTGTGCAATCTAGTTTATATTCTGCTTGATTGGAATACATTTTCCTTTGATGACTCAAGGCTATGAATGTTTGTTTGTACATTCAGTCCAAACCACAAGACACATGATTTAGACATTAAAAATAAGTAAATGAAAAGCATTAGATAAAGTAGTAAGACGTGTTAAACTACTGTCCCAACTACATCACCTCCCTGCAGCCGTACAATTGTTTTAAAGCTCTCTGTTCAGTGTTTGCTTCTGAAACAATCCCTGAAACGAGTGGGAAGGAGCTCTTCCTTACTAATGAACACAATGAAAAACATGAGCACTGAGTCTGTTGCAACGGGAGATGCTCTGTACACACAACACCCCACACCAGGCACTGCGTGTGATTGATTTTCCCATCCGTGAATTAGTGATTTCAGTGCTGGGGTGTAAATCTGTGACTCAGTTATTCAATGACTGGAGAGATTAGGGAAACAAAATCTGACATAAATCATACATTAACATGCACATATGTAGCAAAAACTTCTTATGAATGCTTTGTAAAGCCTTCTTAGGATTTGATCTGATGTTCAGACTATGTCCTGAGACGTTATAAAGACTCTTCAAAACTCAAGTGCATCTCAGATTTGACCTTTATAGCCAGATATTTTGTGTTTTGTGCATCATAAGGGTTTGCAGCTCTTGTTAGAAAAGGTGAGTGATATTTAGCAACTAAAAGTAGCTTCTCTCATAAGGTACCTGTGGCTGAACTGCATTTTCAGATAAGTTAAGAGAATGACATTTGGTCTCCAGTGCCACAACAAATGAAATCATATATCTGTTGTTAATATAAATTTCCACAATCGGTGTAATCTGATTCACACACAAATGACTCTTATTAAAAAAGATTATTTTAATGAATCAGTCAGATCAGTGACCACATTAACATGACTTACTCAATGAACTTTACCATTACTGTCAGTAATACCAGTCACAAAATTAACATACTGTGCATATTTTTGTATTTTGTTATTACAATTAATATATTTGTATTAATATAAATCAAAATATTATTTAATTATCCTTATATACAAGTTGGCATATGAACAGCTGGTCAGTACTGCAAAGATTTAATTTTCAAGAATCTTAAGTACACTACATTTTCATTTTGTGACATCCCTGATAGTAATGATAAAGTTCAGATGTGGCAGTAAAAGTTGGTAAGATGTAGATTTGGTCACTGCATTCACTGATTCAGTTAGCAAAACATTCATCAAACTGATTCAAACCAGTGAGTCTTGGGCTT